GAGCGACAGTGTTGTTTTCAAATGTATTAATTTAAACATTTCAGACGTGAATATTGAGTAAATCTTTGAGAATCTACGCAATATATAAATTTATGTTATGCATGACGGTCTTTCAATCAAGTACTGATATATGTGGACGGTATATTCATTAATATACAGAGCTAGGAAGGAGCGACGTGACAGTGTTGTTTTCAAATGTATAAACATTTCAGACGTAAATATTGAGAAAATCTTTGAGATTCTAGGCATTCAATTGAGTGCCGATATTATTTTCACGGCATACTCGTTATACAGAGGTACAGTATACGTAGGCAGAAGCGAGACAGTGTTGTTTTCAAGTATATGAACATTTCAGACATGAATATTGAGAAAATCTTTGTCCTTTGAGATTCTACGCAATAATACTATTATGTAGTATTAATATGTTGTGCATTACCAGTATTCAATAAAGTGCCCATCGATATTATTTAGAACGTGTATTCATTATACACTGTCATTGACTGTATAAGGTATATACATCACAGAATAGATGGCTACGCTCAGTACAAAGAGCGAAACAACTATTAAACAGAAGCGGGTAAACGTTTGTACGGCGTTTACGAAGAAAATAACTCGCGAGTCAGAGCTCCTTAATTAAATAAGAAAGACGAGGAGATAGCCAATGCGCGTTATCACCAACGTGTTATCGCCAATCGCTTGGCTCGCCAACAAGCTTTATGCAATAGAAAAAAAAAGCAAGGAGGTACATGTAGCCAACGTGTACCGTCACGGGCCTTGTCTTTGTTTACTGTCTAGCACAACGCCGTTGTCAACGGTGTAAACTCTTGTCCAGTGCAACGATAACTCTACCAGATTTTACGATAATCAATCTGTAGTATTCTGTAAACAGAACTGTTCAAAGCTTGTCAAAACTGCTTTAAACACTGCTTAATTGTAAAACTATTGAAATCTAAAGTGACATTATTCAACACATGCGAAAAGCTGAAAATAGACGTGACACTGGAAAAGTCAAAGTCAATGAAACTTGTTATTGTGAAGCATGTCACAATTAGGTTAAAATGCGGAAGCGGATGGAGCGGATCCACGGAACGGATATGCGGATAGAATACGGAACGGATGAGAATAAAATGCGTCCTTTTAATGGTGTAACGACGTAGTGCTTATTATTCATAACATATCTTATACAGCTATTTCAATTATAGTTTTAGATAAATTTAGCATAGCAGTAGCCTCGTGGGGAGCTTTTAGCGACAGCTGCAAATACAAATGAAAATTTAGCATCGTGTAGCATCACAATAAATAGATGAATTGCATCAGTTTCACAAGGCAAGTTTCTTATGTGTTAGGCTTGTTTCAAACGTCACGCTACTCATGTGCCGAGCGTATTAAAAGCAATAAATAATGAGATGTAAGCCATCAGCTTTTCTAGGTTGTCGGCGACCATATATAGTTCTTGCAGTGTCTTTTTCAATTCGAAACTTCACACTATCCTTGGATCCCTAGTCTATATTTGTACAGAGATTAATTTTAACTACATTTGTCTATTTAACTCCATATAAAAATACCGCATTAGGAATAAACTAAAAAGCAGGAAAAACAACAACTTAAACTAGGCCAAAATTACACTAGATACATCGACAAACTTTGATTTAGCACCAGCGATTTCGGCAAGTTGCAAACGATCTACCATATTCTTAGATTTTGCGATTTACCTCATTGCGTTGTACAATCTACTGTTTACAGTTAAAGCCATATTTCAAAGTGATATGTAAATTTTTATGGACTTAGAATAAATTATGTCCGGGATTTCTGGCCATGACCGACCCAGTTATGTATGTGATAATAAGTATAACGGTGTAAATCAAGCATACAACTTACCTACGACAGCGTAGGCGATTTCTGTTTGATTTACACCGTACAACTCAAGTTGTAAGCAGTTTGTATGCGACAGTTTTAGGCAAACGTTGTGTAGTGTAAATATATCGGCCTTTACATTAACCCTGTTGCGTTTTATCCTTTTCTAGGAGAAACGACTTCAGTGTCTTAGCTTCCGTGGTGAAAAAGAACGGTTTGTTAAATCTTTGTTTACGTAAAGCGTTTTCGTGTTAATTGTGATCAATGGCGCGCAGTTCACGAAATATTGGGGGGCGGGGGGCGGGTGGTTAGGTAAATTTGTAAATTTACGTGTAATGTGTAAATTTACGTGTAATGTGTAAATTTACGTGGAAGGTGTAAATTTACGTATAAGGTGTAAATTTGCGTGCAAGGTGTAAATTTACGTTAATTTCTATCCAGGGATGAAAATCTATTCCAAATGTTTTATAAAAATATTTACATCCCAATGGACCACTTAAGTAAGTGGCTATGCATACGACATTGTACAGTTACAATTTCTATACACGATATCGTCAGAATTCATGCTATTCAGTTTAATGAGAAACGAGATAGCTCCACCAATGAGAGAAATGAGCGATAAATTCAGTTGCAACGAATATCCTCGCGACACCAACCCGGGCGTCCTTCGTTTTAAAAACCGCAGAAAATTTCTCAACTCTTCGCCTCGAGACGCGAATGTATACTCTGAAAGTGTTGGCGCGATGTCGGAACCTTCCGCAGAAGTTGAGCCGATAGAATATTGGGAAGCGGTTTGGCGAGGGTTGAGGGTTAAGTTTAAGTCATCATTATTCGAAGCGAGCAGAGGTACGGAGTCATTTTCGGTGTCGCCAAAGGAGTCTTCTTCGCCAAGGGAGTCGATCTCTTGTTCACCATGGGAATGCGTCCCAGATCTGACAGAATGCACCTCACCAAGAGAATGACTCTCAGCTTCCAGTAACCAAGGAGAGATATCGTTGATTCGCTCCATAAATTTTCTTTCTCGTCGCTTTATTAGCTCACCCACAACGGTAGGCGCAAGCCAGATGGTCACGATAAATATCAAGTAACAAGTAAACTGTGGCAGATGTTTCGAGTGGTATGCACTACCGGAAACGGCCTGAGCCAGCTCATAGTCGTACAGCGGTATCGCGAATGTTACGATGTTATGCGCGAGGAACCACCACGAGATTCGTTTCCAGGAATTTTTCACCGGCCGCGCGTACAACTGTACGAAAAACGAGACGGCATCGACTGACGAGTGCTTCCATTTGAGGAAAATATTTTCCATGATTTTCAAGCGAGCTGCATAACTACAATACAGCAGTGATAAAGTCCAGAATAATGCAAGTCCTACACCGAGGTTATAGACAATTGCAATTAGTACTAACCCATATAATATATTTTCTGCTGGACCATGTATATGGAAAAACGGGGAAGAAAATTGGCCCCACAGTATATATGTCGTTATAGATAGCGTACAAAGCATTATGGAGAAAAACGTCATTAACATTATGACAGCAGCATTTAGGATTTTGAGCCCGCGATTCAAAGGTTTTGCGATTCCGGTCAGCGGTCTCAGGGGCTTGAGTACATTTGTTTCCAGGTCCCTAGAAGCGAAGTAGCGGTTACCAAGGATATGGCCTAACCAGATAACTATCTCATGGATGATTAAAAGCAGTTCGATATTTAGCTGTGGCGATTTCCCTGTGGCTCGTATTGAATTACCTATAGATCCGGACAATAGTAGGAGGTTTACGCACACAGGATAGACGTACTTTTCCAAGAAGCACGCTGACCGCGGTCGCCAGAGTGACAGCAGGCGCAGAAGGAAACGGATCACTCGGAAATCCTGGGAACTAAAGAGCAGGGTATCGGTGGTAGGTGAGGCGATACTATATAGTTTCTGAAAGTTGCCCAAATTTCTCATTTTCATTGATAGTTTTTTTGCTCAGCGCAAGATTGATGTTTTCTCTTTCTGAAATTCAAAAATATATAAAATATTGTTCAATATTTCCTCATTCCCGATAGGACCCCTACAAAGAACGATATAAATATATTCTTGGTAACAGACAGAACTCCTGCTGTGAACTCAGGACAGTATTGGGATTTAGAAGATTTAAATCATCCAAAAGACTAGACTATTAATTAAACATCAAAACGTGCGAAATCTGGTAGCCACAACAAAATTATTATAATTTTTTTCGCCATCACCAGTTATGTTACCCTGGATTCCAGAGCCTTCGACAGTAAATAATAAATTGAAATGTCGCGAAGGCTCTGGTTCAACGGGGCGATTCTTTGATTAAACCGTGCCAATCACAAAACAGAATTAGTGGTTTTAGTACAAATTCTGTAGTAAAACCACTAATTCTGTTTTGTGATTGGTGCGGTTTAATCAAAGAATCGCCCCGTTGAACCAGAGCCTTCGCGACATTTCAATTTATTATTTACTGTCGAAGGCTCTGGAATCCAGGGTACAGTTATGTAGACAAACAAAGCGAATTTCATATTAAAGTTTCAGTGAGCCCCAAACCAGTTTGCATATAGTTTTTCTTGTTTGCACATTACTGGCTCCTTATAGGCGAATTTTAAAGCATTGCCTGTTCGAAAATATATACAGATTACAGAAAGCTTATTGCTATTATACTGGTCAAATATTAACCATTTCATAAATTTGGGATTATACCCGCACTGCAATTAAAAGAAACACGTAACTTTGTGTTAAACCGCCATGGCAAACATTTTTATACAGTACTAATTCCTTGTGCTGTTACAGGTGAATTTCAACACATCCTGTTTTTAAAAATGTACATGATACTTATGAATATTTCGAGTCAAACACCACAGACCATGCACTTCAGAAGTTAGCAGTGCGCTTCCGAAATAAAACAGAATTGTATTTTAAACCATAAGGCAACTTACCTCTGAAAACAGCCAGAACGTTGTTAAAAATGTACAGCAATCTCGCACCTTGGAAGATATCTTTGTTCTTTACATGTACAAAGCAAAAAGCTAGGTTTTATATAAAGACTGCGATATAGGGGGTTGCCTCCTACCGATATGATATACAAGCTTGGTGATTGGTTGATTTTGACAATAACATCCCAGTGAACTCTATAAATACTGGAACGATAACTCTCTAGGTAAACTGCCCTGTGATTTGGTGAAGCCAAGATGCCCGCCTATAGAGTGCTCTCTTATTGTTGGTATAAATCACGCGTGTTTTTCACGGGAGCTGAAAAGTTACTAAGTTCCATGTTTTCCCATTTTTGCACATAAATGCTCATTTTAATGGTAAATACCCTACCCTAAAAGCTAAAAACTAAATGCCCTGGGAACGAGGATGTGACAATGCAAGACGATAAACTATAGAAATCATCTTTCTAAAGAACGAATCATAAACACAAACACTGATCACTTTTCTTTCATTAATACCTTGACAAAATAATCTCATGCATATTCTCGTCCGACAACTTTTTTATTTTGCTCGAAATAGTGCTTTCAATACCACGCACAGGAGAATAGCGTGTAAATAACCGCATACTTCAACACACATATATGGAAAACGCGCTTTGATAATGGCTGTACAAGAAAATATAAATTTCTCAGGCATTGCACTTCTCCCTCGCAATATTCACGTCCGATTTCTTTTCGGATTTGACTTGTAGGATTTGTTATATTCACTTGTGCAAAAATACTAATAATTATTATTACTATTTAGATTTATTTACAACACAAGGCTGTGCTCACTAAGACACTATACCTACATAAATATTAACAGAACACATTGACATAAATGTGTGCAAATTAGTTCTCTAGATGTTTTTTGAAGTAATTGAGAGACATTGAGTTAACACTACTTTCAATATGATCATCTAGACTATTCCAGATCACAGCTACTCTGTAAGAAAAACTTCTCTTGCTGAAGTTGGTTTTGGGCTTATCTAACGAAAGATTTATATGGTTGCTACGCAAGTTATAATCGCAAATGTTAAAGCATTTGGGTCAAATAATTTGGTGCTAAACCTTTCATTGTTTTGAACATCATGATAAGATCACGATGATGCAGAGTTTAGCGATGGGCAACCATTTCAAGTTGGTGAAAATTTCAGCTGACCGTGTTTCGTTGGTTAAAAGTCTATCAAGGTTACAGCAGTTCCCATCGTTCCACAAGGTGGTACAATAAAAAGGACACATCTTTTGAACTACTTAAATATTTACAGCCATAGAACTACTTCAAAACTACGACATTGTACAGTTACAGTTTCTATACATCATATCTTCAGAATTCGTGCTATTCAGGTTAATGAGAAACGAGATAGCTACACCAAGGAGAGAAATGAGCGATAAATTCAGTTGCAACGAATATCCTCGCGACACCAAACCGGGCGTCCTTCGTTTTAAAAACCGCAGAAAATTTCTCAACTCTTTGCCTCGAGAGGCGAATGTATACTCGGAAAGCGTCGGAGCGCTGTCGGAACCTTCCTTAGGTTCGGAAAGCGTCGGAGCGTTGTCGGAACCATGCGTAGACTCAGAAAGTGTCGGAGCGCTGTCGGGATCTTTCGTAGAGGTTGAACCATATTGGGAGGCGGTTTGGCGAGGGTTGGGGGTTAAGTTTAAGTCATTATTCGAAGCGATCAGAGGTGTTGTGTCACTTTCGGTGTCGCCAAGGAAGTAGATCTTTTGTTCACCATGGGACCGCGTCCCATTGCTGAAGGAATGCACCTCATCAAGTGAATGACTCTCAGCTTCCAGTAACGAAGGGGAGAGCGTCCGAGCGCTGTCGGAATCTTTCGTAGAGGTTGAGCCATATTGGTAGGCGGTTTGGCGAGGGTTGGGGGTTAATTTGAAGTAACTATTATTCGAAGGGATCGGATTTGTTGCGTCACTTTCGGAGTCGATCTTTCGTTCACCACGAGAACGCATCCCATTGCTGACGGAATGCACCTCATCAAATGAATGACTCAGTAACCCGGGGGAGATATCGTTGATTCGTCCCATAAATTCTCTTTCTCGTCCCTTTATTAGCTCACCCACAACGGTAGGCGCAAGCCAGATGGTCACGATAAATATCAAGTAACAAATAAACTGCGGCAGATGTTTCGAGTGGTATGCACTACCGGAAACGGCCTGAGCCAGCTCGTAGCCGTACAGCGGTATCGCGAGTGTTACGATGTTATGTGTGAGGAACCACCACGAAATTCCTTTCCAGGAATTTTTCACCGGCCGTGCATACATCTCTACGAAAAACCAGACTGCATCGCCTGACGATTGCTTCCATTTGAGGAAAATATTTTCCATAATTTTCAAGCGAGCTGCATAACAACAATACAGCAGTGATAAAGTCCAGAATAATGCAAGTCCTACACCGAGGTTGTGGGCAATTGAGAATAGTACAAAGCCATACAAAATATAATCAACTGTGCCACGTATATGGGGCAATTCAGCTGAAAATCGTTGAGCCCCTTGGCTCCACAGTAGATGTGTCGTTATGAATAGCGCGTAAAGCATTATGAAGAAAAACGCCATAGAGATTCCGATAGCAACATTTAGGATTTTGAGTCCGCGATTCAAAGGTTCCTTGATTCCGGTCAGCGGTCTGAAGGGCTTGAGTACATTTGTCTCCAGGTCCCTAGAAGCGAAGTAGAGGTTACCAAGGATATGGCCTAAACATATAACTATCTCATGAACGATATATAGCAGTTCGATATTCAGCCATGTAGACTTCCCTGTGGCTCGTATTGAATTACGTATAGGTCCAGTAGTCAATAGCATGAGGTTTACGAATACAGGATAGACGTACTTTTCCAAGAAGCACGCTGACCGCGGTCGCCATAGTGACAGCAGGCGTAGGAGGATGCGGATCACTCGGAAGCCCTTGGAACTAAAGAGCAGGGTATCGGTATCAGGTTCCTGGATGACTGCAGTGTCCATATTCGTCGAATGATTGTTCGTGGTTCATGCAAGTCGGTGTTTTTTTTTTACTTCTGAAATACAAAGGAACAAAGAATGTTGAGCGTGGATAGTGATAAACAGTACAGGATCAAATTGAAAACCTGGCAACTGAAAGGCCACCGTGTTCTTCGGCCGTATACCATGGATTCGTCTCACTTTTCTCTTCATTTTGATAGATTCGCTTACCCACTAGCCTACGCTGTAGACCCCAGCAGAAACACGTTTCTTAACACGAACTCCCTCTAACTCGAACTAAATCTAACTTTCCCTGGATTTGACCCAATTTTAAGTCGGATACAGATCGGCTGCTCATGTTTTATTTAGTACTTACACCATCGCAACTGGCCATGCTAAATGCTAATAAACCTGCAACCAAAATAGTTTAAAGATAATTGATTTCTATATAGGTTTGAATAAAATAAATATTTATGAATTTGCATAGCATGCAGACCAGTCGCTATGGTTAGCTTCGCCAATGGACTTTTCGTTGCTTGTCAGCAAACTATTTCAGTCCAAGTGCATCTTCTATTTAAATAGTTATATATTTAGGTACGATTTTCAATTGAAAGTGTACAAAAAGCTCCAACTTCTCTCCGACCCCTCCCCCCTTCCATGTTCTACCTTTCAACTCAAGAGTTGCCCCCCCCCCCTCCCCCTTTCTCTTATCAGCTCTTATCAGCTTTCATGCGAGGAAGGAGTGTTGTTTTCAAATGTATAAACATTTCAGACGTGAATATTGAGACATTGAGTAAATCTTTGAGAATCTACGGCATTTAATCAAGTACCGATATTATTTAGACGGTATATTCATTGTACAGAGCTAGGAAGGAGCTTGACCATAGGCGTAGAAAGATCGATAATTGGGGGGGGGGGGCATATTCATACATTCGTGTTCTGCTTTATTAATTTCTTTTGAAATCAATTGCTTTTATGGTATGTGAACACGAATATATGAATATGGGCCCGCCCAATTATCGATCTTTCTACGCCTATGAGCTTGACAGTGCTTTTTTCAAATGTATAAACATTTCAGACGTAAATATTGAGAAAATTTTTGAGATTCTATTCAATATATGAATTGGTGTTATGCAATACGGGCATTCAATAGTCCTTTCCCCTTTTGAGTGAAATTTTGATCTAGACAAAAATTTCATCACAGCTTGAAAGAGCATCACAAAATTAGTAGCCTAATATTCCCAAGTTTCGTTGCGAAATGTTGTAAAATGCGGATAATATAGCCTTGCGAAGTTTGCCGTTTTTCAGTCATTTGGTATTACAAACGGGAAATTGATATTAATCAGTTTGATCATCTGATTATCAATTTCCCGTTTGTAATACAAAATGACTGAAAAACGGCAAACTTCGCAAGGCCATGTTATCAGCATTTGACAACATTTTGCAACGAAATTGATCCTACCGACTCAATCTTTACGACTGTTATAACCATATGGAAACCAAGCTTAACGGACTCTTCAGACTAACAGTAAAATGATAATGTCAATGTGATTGTAATTTTGCCGTTAGTCTGAAGAAGTAGTGGCCAGTATTGAATTAAGACGATAATATATATATATAGTCGTTTTCCTCAAAAGGTTGCCACAACAGAGCCACCTGAGGATTCCTCTTGAACAAAACAGGCTGTTATGGAAACCTTTTGAGGTAAAACGACTATTTCTGCTAACGACTATTTCTGCTCTATCTATAAAGAGTGCCTGGATTCATCATAAGAGTACGTTTCCCACCAAGAAAATCGCTCGCGAATCTAACTTCTAACTAAGGGGCTTCGCTATAGCACAGTGAGTCAAGGCAACTGCCTTCATCTCTGAGACGGTCAGTCTGATTGTCGCCGCAGACTTGTGTGAAAAAAGTCCGAGAATTCCGGTTTCTCCGAGAATTTCGGTTTCCTTTCACAGGAAATGTTTGCAGAGTGGGTTGGGTAATTTTAATTGATCCTACCATCGTAACAATAAAAACAGGACGCTTATCAATATTACACATCAAACACTCGAAAGCAGTTCTCGAAACATTCAAAATTTGAAAGCTTAAATTTTATTTTCAACCATAACGCAACTTACCTATACCAAAACAGCAGAAAATGTTGTAGAAGATGAGCAGAAATCTTGGATATTAGATAATAAATTTACTCGTAGAAAGCGAAAAGCTAGGTTTTATTTACACTGCGATATTCGTCTAATTTCGCTACGCTGTCATATGCCCCATTTACGGTATTTTCCCCCAGCTGCCATGGGAAATTTACATATTTAGAATGGCGTCATCATCAACATGCATGCACCCGTGAGTTTCAAACACTATTTTTTTCAAACAGTATTTTCAAACACAATTCCGGGGTCTTTGAAAAACTCATTAGCGTATATATTTCCAAACTGCACGAGAAGCCATGCACGCATGCATGCAGCACGCTATTATAATATACATTACACCATGGCAACAGGTCATGCTATATGCTAATACACCTGCAACCAAAATAGTTTAAAGACAATTGATATCTATGTAGGTTTGAATAAAATAAATATTTATAAATTTGCACAGCATCACCAGTTGCTATCGTTAGCTTCAGCTGACCGCGTTTCGTAGGTTGACCCAGTAATAATCCTCGCTGCCCGCTTTTGCAACTTAAAAGCCTATCAAGGTTACAGCAGTTCCCATCGTTCCACAAGGTGGTATAATAAAAAGGACACATCCATTGAACTACTTAAATATTTACAGCCATTGAACTACTTCAAAACTACGACATTGTGCAGTTACAATTTCTATACACGATATCTTCAGAATTCATACTATTCAGTTTAATGAGAAACGAGATAGCTCCACCAAGGAGAGAAATGAGCGATAAATTCAGTTGCAATGAATATCCTCGCGACACCAACCCGGGCGTCCTTCGTTTTAAAAACCGCAGAAAATTTCTCAACTCTTTGCCTCGAGACGCGAATGTATACTCGGAAAGCGTCGGAGCGATGTCGGAACCTTCCATAGAGGTTGAGCCGATAGAATATTGGGAAGCGGTTTGGCGAGGGTTGAGGGTTAAGTTTAAGTCATTATTTTTTGAAGAGAGCAAAGGTTCGGAGTCGCTTACGGTGTCGCCAAGGGAGTCGATCTCTTGTTCACCTTGGGATTGCGTCCCAGATCTGACAGAATGCACCTCACCAAGAGAATGACTTTCAGTTTCCAGTGACCAAGGGGAGATATCGTTGATTCGCTCCATAAATTTTCTTTCTCGTCCCTTTATTAGCTCACCAACAACGGTAGGCGCAAGCCAGATGGTCACGGTAAATATCAAGTAACAAATAAACTGTGGCAGATGTTTCGAGTGGTATGCACGACCGGAAACGGCCTGAGCCAGCTCGTAGCCGTACAGCGGTATCGCGAGTGTCACGACGTTATGCGCGAGGAACCACCACGAGATTCGTTTCCAGGAATTCTTCACCGGCCGCGCGTACAACTGTACGAAAAATGAGACGGCATCGCTTGACGAGTGCTTCCATTTGAGGAAAATGTTTTCGATGATTTTCAAGCGAGCTTCGTAACAACAATACAGCAGTGATAAAGTTCAGAATAAAGCAAGTCCCACACCGAGGTTATAAACAATTGCAATTAGTACAAACCCATATAATATATTATCTACTGGACCATGTACATGGGGAAACTGGGATGACAATTGGCCCCACAGTATATGTGTCACTATAAATAGCGTGCAAAGCATTATGGAGAAAAGCGTCATTGATATGATGACAGCAGCATATAGGATCTTGAGCCTGCGATTTAAATGTTTAGCAATTCCTGTCAGCGGTTTCACTGGCCTGAGGACATTCGTTTCCAGGTCCCTGGAAGCGAAGTAGCGGTTACCAAGGATATGGCCTAACCATATAACTATCTCATGGATGATTAAAATCAGTTCGATATTTAGCCATGGCGATTTCTCTGACTTTGTGGCTAGTATTGAATTACGTATAGATCCAGTGGTCAATAGTAGGAGGCTTACGAACCATGGATAGACGTACTTTTCCAAGAAGCACGCTGACCGCGGTCGCCATAGTGACAGCAGGCGCAGGAGGATGCGGATCACTCGGAAGCCCTTGGAACTAAAGACCAGGGTATCAGTGTTACGATCAGGTTCCTGGATGACTGCAGTGTCCATACTCGTCGAATGAATATTCTTGGTTCATGCAAGTCGGTGGTTTTTTTTATTTCTGAAATACAATCAAAGAATATTGAGCATGGATAGTGATAAACAATCCACGATGAAATTGTTTGAAAAATAAAACAAGAGAACATCTGACTACTAATGCCGTTCTGTTTTGGTACTATTTGTTTCGCGGCCCTTTGGCTTTGAAAACCAGGCAACTGAAAGGCCACCGTGTTTTTCGGCCGCATACCGGGGGGGGGGGGAGGTTTTACCCCGCCCTGGCTCGCTACAAACTACAACTTCGGAACATTTCAAGTATCTTGTTTACCACAAATGGATTCGTCTCACTTTTCTTTTGATTTCGTGAATGACGGAGCACACCTCTGGAATTCTATTCCTAAAGAAATAAGAGAGAACAAATCCTTTTCTTCCTTTCGAAAGAAAATCTATACTCACATTGATTGACAGCTAAATGAAAATATAGATGTTAATATACCTGTATATAGATTATTACTTTAGTTTGTCAGTTCATATAATACTATATATCTTGTATAATTTTGTAAATAGTTTTTAAAAATTCAATAATTCACGAGGAAAATACAAAAGAAATGAATGTTTAATCAATGTTTGTAAATCGGATATTCGCATCCGATCTGTATCTGATGTACAAACTCTCGCCTTCGGCTCGAGTTTGTATATCAGATACAGATCGGCTGCTCATGTTTTATCTAGCACTTTAAATTCTTTTCAGTATACTTTTCGCACGCTCCTCGCGGAAATCAGCTTCGGTTGACGGGGTCAGCGTGTTTAAATAAAGTTTTCTATCTATCTATCTGACTCTAATTCACCTATCAAAATAAAACTATTTCTTGTACAGTACTTGTTCCTTTACACATCTTTCGTGTTTGCTATGTACACAAGAGGACGTCTCTCGAAACTAAACTTCTCCAAACTTCCAAACTTTGAAAGCTAAAATTTTATTTTCAACCATAACGCAACTCACCTATAGTCTATACCCAAACAGCAGAAAATGTGGTAGAGAATGAGAGAAATCTTCGATATTAGATGATAAATTTACTCGTAGAAAGCGGAAAAGCTAGGTTTTATTTACATTGCGATATTGGTCCAATTTCGTTACGCTGTCATATGACACAAATATGACGGTATTTCCCCTTGCTACCATGAGAAATTTATATATTTAGAATGTCGTCATCATCAACATGCACGCGTGAGTTTCAAACACTATTTTTTTCAAACAGTATTTTCAAACACAATTCGGAGTCTTTGAAAAACTCATGAGCGTATATCTTTCCAAATTGCACGAAAACATGCATGCTATTATAATATACATTACACCGTGGCAACTGGCCATGCTATATGCTAATAAACCTGCAACCAAAATATTTTGAAGACAATAGGATTTCTATATAGGTTTGAATAAAGTAAATATTTATAAATTTGCATAGCGTCACCAGTTGCTATGGTTAGCTTCGCTTTTCGTTGCTTGTCA